TCTCATTAAAAGGACACCAAAGTGCTTCTCATTACCGTCAGTTATTAACACTCAGTCAGTGAGCAAACTCTCCATCAGTAGATAAAATCCACAATAAATTTAAACCAGTACAAAAAGTTCTGTTGTTCTAATTCATTGCAGTCGTTTGGTAACTGATGTTTTCTCCCTGCAGGAAGGAAAAGGGTCAAACATTTAAAGCCCCACATTAACAAGGCCTTTCTGCCGGAGGTAAACTTCCCATCAGCGCCGCGGCTCCCATCTATCGCGCCACACCAGCAAACACACTCTGCTATTTTCTGCTTGCCTCAGTCAATCTCCTATTTTCTGTGACATTTTAGTTGTGTAAAACCACATAATTTGAATTTCTTGCCAATCTTTCATTCACGCTCCTTCATCTCTCACGTCCGTCATCTTTTCCCCTCCTTGTCTCTGATGTGCTGATGGTGTTCTAACCCCAGTTACTGTGGCATGTCCAGTGAGTGACAGCATGATGAAGTGATGTCCCAGCATGTTTGCTTTGCCCGCTAGAGGTCAGCCGGGGTCACAGAGGTAATGAGGCCATAAAAATGCAGGTACAGAAAGTCGCGGGGAAACCAGATAAGGTGCAGAAAAGGTTAGAGGGAGATGAACAATGTGCATTTGTCGACTTCCCAGTCTGTCAGAGACAAGAGGAAGAGTTGCGCAGCTTAATGAAGGGCTCTCAGAGCACAGATTGGAATTTGTGCTGCATTATTATTGTGACACAAGGAAATCAGAACGAATTTGCCGTGTCTCATTTATCAAGCAAGCCAGGCACGCCAAATCATTTAGACTGATGAATAAACATGTTGCACCTGCAGCGTCCTGATACAGTATTCAAATACGCAAACTCTGCATGTGTAATTATGACTGTGTTTCAGTTCAAGTTAGAAAATGCAGGTGAGACGTTCTGACCCACTTCAGGTTCTGAACTGATCCTTGTGTCTGAATTAAAATACTGGTGTCACACCTGGAGACGTTCACAGGTCGTCTGTTCAAGTCTCACAAGAGTAAAGTTAATATTTTCTGACCAAATGCATGTAGTGCACTCTATGCATCACCTTTAAAAACAACCTGCACAGATCCTTCTACTTATTATTTATTGATAAATATATTTTCAATTCAAAGAGAACTAGCAGAAATCGGTTATAGTTGAATAGCAATATGAACCAAACAGGATGTACTTTAATTTGAAAGAACTATTAATGTATTTAATTTATGTAACATTTAGTGGAGTTTACACATTAAAGAGTGTTAAGACTCTTCTTAACTTTGAGTTCTAATATTAACAGAAAACAAGGAGCAAATGATCTCATAATAAAGTCTAAGTCAGGGTAACTTGACTTGGGGAGAAATCCTGCATTTGTGATCAAGTGTAATAAAAGTTGCCTTAATGTTAAAGAAGCAGAAATGCTTTGTAATGATGCTCACTGAGCACAGAGGTAAATTATCTTTACCTCATTTTCAAATTACCTGGAGTCATTTATTACAAAGTGAAGCTTCAGAAGCATCTGTGTGGCCATTCTTATGATGCTACAGCAAACATTAAAAAGTTGTTATGGACCACACCTTCGGGAAACATCCACCCCTGCCAAACTTGTAATCTATCACTTCAATAGTAAATAGTGTTTAATGGCAGCATTAAATAAAAGCAGAATAACTTGGAAACTGTTTGCTAATAAACTGCACAAGCACTGACAGACATACTTCTCCAGTTTTGGGCCATAACTTCATCTGCATTAATGTTTACAACACTGATGATTACATAATTTGTCACAGAATGATCATTTTATCCTTATATTCATGTGCTGCCTGATATCAACTACAGGCTTTTCAAAGCGGATAATGCATGACGGACTTCAGACTGCAGTTTTTAAAAGGTGTAACAGTCAAATGTACCTTTTTGAGTGGAGAATGCTGTTAATGTTGTTAAAGAGCTGCCATCCAGCTCTGAAATGTAATAGTAATGTAATTTAAGAAATGTTTCTGCCCTCAACATTCATGAAGCATTCATGAGCTGAGGCAAAGTTTCACCGTGACAGATTAGAAGTCACCCAGAGAAGCTCAAGAGAAAAAGACTTCAGTGTTTTATCAAACCAACACTTTGTTCAGTTTGAACAGTCAGTATCATCAACTGTAGCAGGAATCATTCTGTGTATTTTATAAATTATCACCAAATACTACAATATATTCTGGCAGATATGAGATGAAAAATATATCAACTTCTGTAATTCAGTGAACTTTCCTGTTGCTCCTGCACACCTTCCATTATTCTAACAATTAAAAGAAAATATGATTCAATTCCCAAAATATAAATATCCAACACAAACTGCTCCACCTGTAAACTTTAAATAATAAAATCCAACTGTTAAATGTATTGATATTTATAAAATATGAATGTCCAGTTCATTATTAATTATATCATATTTACACGCATCAGTTATTTGTCTGCAAGTTTAAAAATGAAGAGTAAAATCAGCCAAACTTTGTCCTGTAGAAACACAGCGGAACCAGGACCATCAGCTTCAGCCTAGTAATCTGGTCCGATCCCAGTGATCTGGTCCGATCCCAGTAATCTGGTCCGATCCCAGTAATCTGGTCCGATCCCAGTAATCTGGTCCGATCCCAGTAATCTGGTCCGATCCCAGTAAACTGGTCCGATCCCAGTAAACTGGTCCGATCCCAGTAATCTGGTCCGATCCCAGTGATCTGGTCCGATCCCAGTAAACTGGTCCGATCCCAGTAATCTGGTCCGATCCCAGTAAACTGGTCCGATCCCAGTAATCTGGTCCGATCCCAGTGATCTGGTCCGATCCCAGTAAACTGGTCCGATCCCAGTAATCTGGTCCGATCCCAGTGATCTGGTCCGATCCCAGTAAACTGGTCCGATCCCAGTAATCTGGTCCGATCCCAGTAAACTGGTCCGATCCCAGTAAACTGGTCCGATCCCAGTAATCTGGTCCGATCCCAGTACTGGATCCAACCTGAACTGTTGCTGATGCTTCTTTTAGTCTGATCAAAACATCAGTGGTGAAATACCCAAAAGACAGATTTCTTCAGCCTGAGAACCAAATGCATCAAACCTGGAAGCTCAGCATATTTTTCCAGTTTGTAAGACAGAATCAAACAGCAGAATGATCACCGATGTGTTTCATTTGAAGTTTAGGAAAAATAAATGTCAAATAAAGATTGGAGAAATTTGGCAGTTTTCTCTTTTCATGGATGTTCATGTGAAACATAAACCATTCAAGTCAAATTGTTCCTAAAATATTTTAAAGAAAATGCAGATTGAGAAACTGAAATATCAAGAGGCATTGCTACTCGACACACGATTGGTTGTTGTTTGGACAGCAGCCAATCCAGCAGCACCATTTATTTTCCTTGATGCTAATTGGCTGTAACCTCTAGAGTGGAAATAACAATCAACATGGATGTTAGCTTCTGTGGTGAGTTTCCACTCTACATACTGAAGCATTATGTGAGTACTGGGTGTTCACTCACATTGTTTTCATTTTAGTCAATATTTGCAATATTTAGCTGTTGAATTAAAACAAAGTTAAGAAGAATAGATTTGTAATTGTACAGCCTGCAGAAAGAAAAAAAGAGTTGGCTAAATTTGAAACCTACACCTCAGACCTCAAATAAAAAGTGGTGCATGTCTAGTTTTAATTAAAGGTGGGATGAGTGGCCCTCCTGGTCTAGATTAATGACTGCAGGTGAGTCAAACACTCTGATTTAACATCATTAGGTCTCAAAAAATGACTGGCCTGAGAAAATCAGTTCAGCTGTGGGTGATCTAAACAGCCTCGTCTAAATGCTCCTTATTTCTCCCATTTATTTGTCTGACTTTATAGATCAGGGAGAGGAAACGTCAGTGGCTTTGAAGATTTGGTGAGGACTCAGAGAGAGGTAAATGTGTAGTGGAAGCACAACAAGATGTGGGTGTGTTTTGTGTGTAGATTCAAGCCCCTATTTGAAGTCCTTCACTTCACTCTGGCAATTACTTCATATCAAGGATTAGATGGAGGAGAAAGCAGAGAGGAGACGCAAAGATGGAGAAAGAAAGAGGAGGAGGGGGAAGGTGGCAGGAGGAAAGAGGACAGAGAAGTTGGAGGAAGTGCTACTATAGTGCAGATTAAGGTATCTGCTGCAGGGAAGCTTTTCCCTTTATTTAAAGGAGGTTATGCTGACTGTCTAAACATGAGGAAACATCTGCAGCAGAAACTGCTCCTCGGTTTCACCAGGAGCTTTTGAAATCATTGCGTTACTTTGTGTTACATCTGCACTTTAAAGCTCCTCAGTGAAAACATGTTTCTTCATTGTTTACGCTTTGGTGCAGAAACTGTTTGGAAGTCGATCTATTAACTGATGTTCATGTTTGTTTGTGTGAGTTGGAGATAAGAATGAACTATTTACACTACCAACATGGAAAAGACGCAATTAAAACTGATGCAGATATTATAACTTCTTAAGTTATTTTCATGTGGTAAGTTTCTGTTTATGTCTTAGTGAAGACAGAAAGGGATGGAAAGCCTTTGATTGACGTGTTTTGCTTTTGCATTTTGCACATAAGTTTGTGATACATTCACAAGAAAAAGACGTAACACTTCAGATATTTCACAAATGTGAAATTAACAACAAAAACCTTTACAAAAACCATACATTGTAGGAGAAATGCTTCAAGAAGCTGCATGAACTGAGTAGCACAACATTGTGAGGAAATGCAGAAGTATTGAAAGGGAAAGCAGTAATTTTACCCGGGAACCCAAAAGAACAAAATGTCTCCCATGTTCCCAACTAACTCTACAATGTGACAAATATGGAAAAGAATGAATGGGACATTTTACATTAATCTGCCTTATTTAAAATATTGCACTTACATTTTCTGCAAGAACTTTGAATAACCACAGATAAAATAAATGAGACATGGGCTCAGATTGTTGTTCATTTCTCCATATTCAATTAATTTAAGAGTTTCTTACCTCAGGGATACGAACTGTGTACGGCTGCCCATGGAAGTTTGGTGCATTATCATTCACGTCTCCAATCTGGATGTTTACTGTATCTTTCACCACCTGAGGGAGGAGATCATATATGCATCAAAACGGCTGGACTCAGATTAACAGCAAAAAAATGGTGCAGAGGGAATTATAAATGATCAGGGGGAGCGTGGGCTGAAAGTCAGTTGATTTTTGCACATAAATTTTGTTAAGTGAGACAGATGAGAGAAATGAGAGAGAAATGGAGGCAACTTGTGGTCAGGCTATATTCATGATGTCAGCATGTGACATGAAAATCTCAGATCAGACCTAAATTGTACCTCCTGAAGGTCGCTCACGTAGAACTCGACCTGCATCTCTGACTTGGTCTGGTGCAGAAACAGAGACATCAGCATCACATTTCCATGGAGACGTGACATACATGAAGAGAGCAGAGCAGTCAAACAAAAAAGCAACAAAAATCATGTTTCAGAAAATAACTCTGCTGTGCTGCTCTCTGTTGTCACTGGAAAATTTACTCTCCATCTCATCTCTTCTAAATCTTCCTCTTTATTCCCAGGTGCAGAACTCAGGATCGTGCAGAACGCAGATCTATGTTTGCATGCTTTACCTCACGGTCGAGCTGCTGTCGAAGCCAAACCACGCCTGTTTCCTTATTCACAGAAAAATACTTCATGGCTTCTTCTCCTGAAACGCCGTATATGAGCGGCTCCCCCTCCGGATCCGTCGCTTTCAGCTGGGCAACCGAAGAACCTGCAGGAGAGGGGCAAGGGTCAGAGGTCGTACAGGGTGAAGAATGTTTCCATTTGTCTTGTTGACATTTCCCATACATGCAATAATGACAAAAAAAAAACATGAAATAAGAAGCATGAAAAGAAAAAGTTCTAAGAAACTCAAGTTTTTAAATTGTTTTTCTCACTGAAAGTGGAAATCATGACTAAGATAATAATAATAAAAAAACACTTGGTGTCATGCAAGCCGAGTAGCAGCTAACTGTTAGCCTGGGAATGCTAATTCCCAGTGGTATAAAATTATTTTATAAAATGGTTTTGTCAAAAAGAAACTTAAAGTAGCTCACATGTCCACAGGAAATAGTGATGAAAATAAAGTTTTTCTGAAATGAAGACACGTTTCATTATCAGTCCTCTCTAATTCTGCAAGCTACAAAACTCTTACATAGTCACACATCTCACTCTGCTGAGGATCTTTGCAGTGACAAAGATATTTCATATTTTTCAGGAGAGTCCATTTGATTTGTCAAAATTCAATGACTCCTTCTGAATTTTCTGCAAAGCAGGTGGGAGAAGCATTTTGCCCAAAGACACAACAGAGAAAAACGGTTTAATCAAAGTAAATATGAAAGCAAATCTCTGAGGAATGCTGACATTGAACAGTAAACATCTGCATTTTGATTCAGTCAGTCTTTGCCTGGTAGATCTTCTTAAATATACAGATTGTAAATTCATCGTGTGAATGCTTGTACTTTTGTTCACACCTTCACTCGCCCCCACTCCGCTCTGAAGGTACTTAGTCAGACAAAAGAAGTGAAGCCAGACTAAATCAAACCTGTCAGTCGAGCACCAAACCTCTTAACACAGCAACCAATTAGGCTTCACAATCACCCTCCCCTCTCGTTTTATTAATACACTCCATTTTCCTATGAAAGGGTGGCAAAAAATGACTAATTAATATAACGATTTATGAACCCCTTTCATTGCAGTCTAATGAGATTTATGCAAATTCAGCAGCTTTCAGTATGAGTTATAATTTGGTTGAAGACGTTGCAAATTAAGCATTTTACTTCATAGTCATCAATAATGTTTTTTTTCTCTCCTTCCTTTGGGTTTCTCAACTATAAAATAACTATCTGCTTCTTGTGAGTAGACAAGCACTTCAGTGAAAGATTAAAAATGGTGACTCGAGGGAACAACAATGATACAACTGAGAAGTTTCCAATCATCTGGACAGATTCTGATTCAATTACATACAATCTAATCCAATCTTGACTTTGATTGATTCATCTTAAAATGCCAGTTGGCAAATAGATATTTCAGCAACCCAGGAAATTACCACATGCTTCTTGGAAAGCATGTGGTAATGGTGGAGAGAAACAACTCTCTGTTAACTGATTATTTTTATGCAGATGAGATTATCACAATTTAATACGCAGTAATATAATTATATAACATATCTGGCAGAGGAGGGATAAAGGTGTGCAGCCAGAAGAGAACTGAAAATATTCACATCACATACTGATTTATTGGGAATATTTTTTCACTTCTTCCCCGGCTGTGATTTTGGCTAAAGAGAGGAAATATTTGAGCCTGAAAACAGATTTGATGGACACGATGACATATGTTTGCATTAAGAGCAATCTGTTTGGGATTACAGTGCGTGGGTAAATGGAAAAAGCAAACACAGATTATTGATTGCAAAATGTACAAAATTGTATTATTTTGTGAATTTTCTCCAGGATGAGTGTCTAGAAACCCATCTTGTCTTTCTGATCTCATTGTGAGAGACGTTGCAGTCAGAAAACAGATTTCTGTTACGAAGAAGGGAAATGGGCTGATTTCTCCCAGTCAGCTCTGACCAGCAGGGAAGCATTTATGTGGAAAAAGCTCCAAAGATAAAACCAAACATGTAAAAAGAAGAGCTGCATGTTTTCATTTGAGCAAGACAGGAAGTCCCTCACAGATATTGTCATAGTTACCATGTGTGTATACAGCTGATATTCCTCTAAAGCTTATCTGTAACACTGAGACACTAAGCCCTTTTCTCTGATAAATGATGGTATTTAGCAGGAAGTGATGCCGGTACTACTGTTATGAATGATACAGTGAACATTAATGGCTGCCCCAACCCCTCCACTCTGCAACACTTCCTCCATGACAGGAGCAATGGACTGCAAGAACCATCATTCAACTTCCCTCTCTCTCCTATTGTCTTGCAAACCCGCGGCTTCCTCTGCAGTCTCACTTCCTCTTTAGAGCCACGGCGAAGCAGCAAGCACATAAAGCATCTGGGGAAACTCAACTTCTTCTCTTTGCAGCTTTTTGTGGACAGTTTATTCTTCTTTTCTTTCATTTACCCTGTACAGGTCACAAGCAATCTGACATTTCTTATTCAAAGTTTAGAATCTTCAAAGAATGGTATTTATTTGCGCAGTACTTTCCAAAAGTACAGAACTGTCAACAAGAATGCTGTGTTGACTCAGGAGAGCTACAAATACAAATGCATGCCTCACTTTTAAGATTTATTATTATGAAACACTTTGGCAATCAGCAATATTTTATATTTTTTTGTTGGCTTATCAATTAAAAATCTCAGTGGTGTTTATGGCATTTTGTGCAAGTCTGCCTAACTAATGTATGAATTGGTAGCAAATGTGTTTTTCGTAATATTTCAATGTTGAAGAAATGTATCTAACAATAGGGTAGGTGTAAAAATGAGAACAAAAAACCGGTTCAGAGTCAAAGGGAATCTCCCAAAAGAAGAAAGGAAATATGAAATAAATTTGGTTAATACTAAAAACAACATTAATTTCATTACTATTAGTTCCACTCAAAATGTATAATTCATTTTTCATAAGGATAAAAAAAAGACTTAAAATATAAAACAGCTGAAAAACTGAAAAGTGCAGAGCAAAAGACAGAAAAAAGAGATGAAAGATTTGCTAACATGCAGACAGCATGTTATCAAACATGAAATTCGTACTTAGTGCTTCTTACAGGAGAGACGGAGCAGGTAGTGGAGGGGAACTAAATCAGCCGCCAGAGGACATCGATCCCTGCTGGATCAATAGCAGTTGCATGTGTTAGACGGGGACTAGCCTTTGCCCTGCCCCGCAGCCGCAGGCCTCTCAAACAAAAGCGGCTTTGGGCCAAACGCCCGTTTATTATGTTGGTGACATCTCCAGACCTCTCGTTCATCTGAGTTCTGATTCACTGGGACAGGCGCTGTCAGCTCTGCAATTTCAGCCATGCTCTGAATTATGGCGATGAATTTTATGGGCCACAAAAGGCTTAATGGGTATATGGGCAGTGTTCAGCTGTCTACCACAGCAGGGACAAACAGAAGAAAAGATGAAGCCACCTCAGATCGGTGTTAAGTCTCACTGAGAGCACAGGACCGGCTGGAGAGCATGGTGATCCGAACTCGGTCTGTTTAAATTCTTGATGGATCGTCTCTCACTCAGTCAGACTTGGGGCTGAAGTCATGCAATCAGCAGGCTGATGAGTCAGTGTGGTGCCACTCAAGTTACTGCACTGTCTATCTGCTGACAAAAGAGCCTTCAAACACATCAACAAGGCCTATATGGAGCAACACTGCCTCACATCAATCACTCTTAAAAAATTCACATAAGCAAACGCACTCTTCAGCTGCGTTGCAGGATGAGCTCATTTGGTTCGCTGCATTTTAACCATGCAGCAGTTGTCAATATACAGATCAACGGAAAAAATTAGCCTGTGATGCATCAAAGGATCCGTCATTGAGGACCTTCTAACTGCAGCTAAGCTAGAACTAAACTAGAATTGGGTTCTTTCTGGAAAATTTGATTAAAAAAAATATACAAATAACAAATAAATAAAAAAATAACAAATTTTACATTTTCAGGCCCTTGTTCTGAAAAAACATCAATATTGATATTCAATATAGCATCAAATTATTCTAATGATATACATGATTAATGTGAGAATAAAATACTCTGACATTTTTCATTGTGTAAAAATCACTATGTTATCTGCGTACATTGGAACATTAACATGAAGTCGTTTTTTATGAAACAGGCTTGTCAGATTGTGGGGCTCCAACAGGGCAGTTAATGAAGGATGATTTGATCAAACACCAATTTCTGTTTGATAAATATAATTTAAACTCTAATTGTTTGGTGATAAATGAAGTTTCTCACCATGTTCTCTCATATATGAGAACGTTCTGTCTGGCATTAAGAAAGCAGCCAATCCCGGCGCTGATTGGCTGAACCCTGAAGAATGGAGATACAGAAGGTATTAAATTAGCTTCTGGGGTATTAAAATGGTTCCTAATGTCTGAATTAATGCATATTAATGTATATTTGGTATTTAAATAATTAAAACTGGCAGTTGTAAGAGTTTCAAGTATTTGCAGTCTTTAGGTATTTGCAGGTTAAATTCAATGACCCTCATGAATATGGCGAATGCACTGCACACTTTCATCAATTAAAAAACATTAAAACACACAATAACCATATAGTTATCCAATACTAAAACCACAAAATGTTATCTTTTGTAAACTTTTCCTTTGGTTTTAGACTAAATAACTTCACTTTTCAATTATTGTGTCATGAACTTGAGGGTTAGGAATATTCATTATAATAGACACTGTATCATCTGTTATAATAGACGATGCAGTCAAGACAAGGGAATGTTTTGGTGTGAACTTTACACAAATGTTCTTCACTGACCTGCATATTAGTATTGATCAAGCAGAGTTCACCTCTGAGCTGAAATGTTCATCATTCACACCAATGTCTGACCCTTAAGTCAACCCAGCTCCTGTGCAGCACTTTACAAGTAATTGAGGAGTCAGATTTCATCAGGGGATTTAAGTCATTCTTTCAGGCTCATCCTTTTAAGACCCTCTGTAGGGGCATGTGCATTATCTCCTGCTTTCCCCACCAGTAAAATGCACAATAAATTTATCTTTTTTCTACTCCTTCAGAAATAAGATGGAAATGAGCTAAAATCAACTCATCACTACTTCCTCGACCT